TTTTGCGACCATGAGGCTCTCAAGAGATACATGTTGGGGACGCCAAACGGCAATTCTAGCTGAGGCGTCCCACCAAAATCGGCGCGAACGGGCTCGTGAGATCAGCCAGGGTGGCTCCCCCTTGGGGCTCCCAAATGATGCCCCTGGCAGCGTTTTGTGACCATGAGGCTCTCAAGAGAGACATGTTGGGGAGGCCAAACGGCAATTTTAGCTGAGACGTCCCACCAAAATCGGCGCGAACGGGCTCGTGATATCAGCCAGGGTGGCTCCCCCTTGGGGCTCCCAAATGATGCCACCCCCCCCCCCACCCCCCCACAACCAACTGGCAGCGTTTTGTGACTATGAGGCTCTCAAGAGAGACATGTTGGGGCGGCCAAACGGCAATTTTAGCTGAGACGTCCCACCAAAATCGGCGCGAACGGGCTCGTGAGATCAGCCAGGGTGGCTCCCCCTTGGGGCTCCCAAATGATGCCCCTGGCAGCGCTTTGTGACCATGAGGCTCTCAAGAGATACATGTTGGGGGCGCCAAACGGCAATTCTAGCTGAGACGTCCCACCAAAATCGGCGCGAACGGGCTCGTGAGATCAGCCAGGGTGGCTCCCCCTTGGGGCTCCCAAATGATGCCCATGGCAGCGTTTTGTGACCATGAGGCTCTCAAGAGATACATGTTGGGGGCGCCAAACGGCAATTCTAGCTGAGACGTCCCACCAAAATCGGCGCGAACGGGCTCGTGAGATCAGCCAGGGTGGCTCCCCCTTGGGGCTCCCAAGTGATGCCCCTGGCAGCGTTTTGTGACCATGAGGCTCTCAAGAGAGACATGTTGGGGAGGCCCAGCGGCAATTTTAGCTGAGACGTCCCACCAAAATCGGCGCGAACGGGCTCGTGATACCAGCCAGGGTGGCTCCCCCTTGGGGCTCCCAAATGATGCCCCCGGCAGCGTTTTGTGACCATGAGGCTCTCAAGAGAAACATGTTGGGGACGCCAAACGGCAATTCTAGCTGAGGCGTCCCACCAAAATCGGCGCGAACGGGCTCGTGATATCAGCCAGGGTGGCTCCCCCTTGGGGCTCCCAACTGATGCCCCTGGCAGCGTTTTGTGATCATGAGAGAGTGTGAGTGTGAGTGAATGTGACTGTGAGTGAGTCTGAGTGAGAGTGAGTCTCATCTTATCTTATCGAGTCCTATCTTATCGAGTCCTTGTCATATATCTTATCTTACCTTAGCATATCTTGTGCTATCTTATCTTATCTTGTAATATCTTATCTTGTCTTGTCTTATCTGGTGATTATCATTGGGAGGAGGGAGGCGCGAGCGGGAGGAAGGAGGAGCAGTGGGAGGCGTCAGAGTAATAACCAGAACCCCAATCCTTAGGATATGGGGAATTACTCCGACGGAAGAACCCCGCATAAGAATCCTGTGGGCGAATCTGGAAAAAGCCATCACCGTCGTCCTCGTGGTTGGTGAGGCGTCCTGGCTGTCTCGTCTGCGTATATTTCCTCTCGCCTTGGCGCGGGCCCCCCTTCCACTCCTTGCGTTGTCCCCATCCTCGCCCCCCTGTTTGTTCCGCGCCCCGCCACCTCCTCCCCTTCCTGTTGCATGAGCGCGCACGTCGATGTTCCTCGGCGCCGTCGCCGCCACGGCCAGCACAGGCGCGTTCTCTAATGGTCACGGCGCGCAGCCGTTGGGGCAACCCCGCGGGCCAGGCTGTCGGGGCAACCCCGCGAGCCGTTGGCGCGCAAGACCAAGCCGTTGGGACAGCCCCGCGGGCTTCGAGCGAGGCGCAGCCGCGCTCAGGCGGAAGGCAGCGCGAAGCCCAGCTCTGCCGCGAGCTGCTTCGCCTCCGCCCTGGACAAAACCGCTCTCTTGCCGAACTCCAGGAGCGCCTTCCGCAGGGACGCCGGCGGCCCGCACTCCAGGAACTCTCGCGGCGGCGGCCGCAGGATCAGCATGTTCCGCATGCACGTGGAGCGGGAGAACATGACGTAGAGGTGCAGCCACCACTGCTCGTCCGACATGCCCGTGCGGCCAGCGTCCTCGTCTCTCGCGCAGTCGATGGTGACGCCCTTGCGCAGCGTCTGGCCCTGCGACAGCGTGGAGGT